TCTCGCTGCTCAGGTGGGTCTCGAACCCGCAGGCTCAGGCAATCCACTTACCTCAGCCTCCAAAGGCACGGGATTATAGGCTGAGCCACCAAGCCCGGCAACAAAAACTTTTTAAAGGAAGATTATTAGGCAAACAGATGTACATCAGACACAAGACTGCATTATCTATACTAAAAAATTAGAAACATGTGAAATGCCATCTTATACTTTTTTTTTGAGTTGGAGTCTCACTCTGTTACCCAGTCTGGAGTGCAATGGCACACTCATGGCCACCCCAGCATTGACCTGCTGGGCTCAGGCCTTCTGCCTCAGCCTTCTGAGTAGCCAGAACTATGGGGTCGAGCTACCACACCCAGTTAACTTTTTTTTATTATTTATTGTAGAGATGAGGTCTCACCAAGTTGCCCAGGCTGTTCTCAAACCTGTGGGCTCAGGCAATCCTCTCACCTCAGCCTCCCAAAGTGCTGGGATTACAGGCTTGAGCCACTGTGCCCAGTCTTATACTTTTTTAAAATTTCATTTTTGAAAAAACACAGGCTTGAGGATGAGGGTTTTTGTTTGTTTGTTTGCCATAAATACATACAGTACAGCAAAAGTTATTTTTTTCATGTATAGCAAAAAGGTATTTATTTTATCTACCTCTATTTGTTAAGATTTAGAAATCAAAAGACTTTACTTGCTGAAAACCCATAATTGTTTCAGATGTGCTTTAATTAAAGCAGTATGTACAGCCTGGGGCTCTTTATACATGTTTCTGATCCAGGAACTATACTCAAAAGTCTCTACACAGACAATATATCAATGTTCTTCCAGAACACAGGGAAAGGTATTGTGATCATTTGAATTTCTAGCAATTTCAACTACAGAAATAAGTGTTTTTAGAGAGCTGCTTACTGAATATTCTTTTTTTTTTAAAGATTCTTTTTTTGTTATATAGAGAATGAAAACTCAGCAAGTGAAAGATTAAGTAATTCACCCATTCCTCAACTCTACTTGATTCTGTTTGTTCAAAGTTCTGTTACATGCTTTTCTTCACAGTTAATTTTTACCTTGTGTTATACTTTAATTTTTAAAAATCCTACTGCCAGCAATTGAACTTAGTTATGCTATGTATGAAGCACTTTTCAGGAATTATGTTCTTGCTTTTCTCTGATCTCTGATGTTCTCCTACTAATTCGCATGCTGATACTTTCTAAAAATGCAGGAAAATTGGGACTCTCATTTTGGTTGAAGTGTAAGTTACCTTGTATTATTAATCTTGTGATCCAGAGTGACAGAGACATAATTGAAGCCAACTTAAAAAAAGTAGGTGGGATGATTTTGAGCTCACTTAATTGGGTAGGATGAACATTAAACAGGACTGGACCAAGAGTTCAAATGAGATTGTCAGGGCTTCCTTTTATTTATTTATTTATTTTTTGAGTAGGAGTCTCACTCTGTTGCCCAGGCTGGAGTGCAGCGGCATGCTCATGGCCACTGTAGTCTCAACCTGCTGGGCTCAGGTGATCCTTCCATTTCAGCCTTCCAAGTAGCTGGAACTACAGACACACCTTACCATATCTGGCTTATTTTTTAATTTATTTTAGAGACGCGGTCTCACCAAATTGCCCAGTTTGGTCTCAAACTCCTGAGCTCAGGCAATCCTCTAGGCTTGGCCTCCCAAAGTGCTGGAATTTCAGTCTTGTGCCACGATGCCCAGCCTCCTTTTACTTTCTACCAAAAATAGGGTTCAGCTCTACTTTTCTTTCTTCATTTTTTTGAAAACACTCAAGTATAGTCTATGTTCAGGGACTATGGTTCACTATTTCAAAAACGCAAGAGCTCTCTGCTAGATGCAGCAGAAAATCCTGAAGAAAGACTCTGATGGACCCAGCTGAGGTCCATTTCTGAGTCAATTGCAGTGACCAGGGAACCTGAGGTGAGGCAGTATAGGTCTGATGGTCAAGAGTATGGGCTCTGTTGTCAGACACACTGTACTTAAATCCCACTAGTAAGGCCGGGTGTGGTGGCTCAAGTCTGTAATCCCAGCATTTTGGGAGGCTGAGGCAAGAGGATTGCCTGAGCTCAGAGGTTCCAGGCCAAGCCTGGGAAACTTGGTGAGTCCTCGTCTCTATAACAAATCAAAAAATTAGCTAGGCAGGGTGGCACGCACCTGTGGTTCCAGCTACTTGGAAGGCTGAGGCAGAAGAATCACTGAGCCCAGCAGGTTGAGGCTGCAGTGCTCGTGAGTATACCACTGCACTCCAGACTGGGGTGACAGAGTGAAACTGTGACTCACAAAAAAAAAACCAAAAAAACAAAGTCCCAACCAGCTGTGTGACCTTGGAAACTACTGACCTTTACTGTTTATTTCTTTGTCTGTAATCTAGGGATTACACTATAAAGATTACATTCTGTATAAAAATTCACAGAGTAATCCCTGGCCACAGAATATATTCCATTAAACCTCGCCTATTTTTTTTTTTTTAGAGACGAGGTCTCACCAAGTTGCCCAGGCTGGTCTTAAACCCCTGAACTCGGGCAATCCTCTTGCCTTGGGCTACCAAAGTGCTGGGATTAGAGGCTTGAGTCACCAAGCCCAGTCTTATTATTTTTATTATTGGTCATGTGTCCATTCTTGTGGCTTGAATGGGAGGGAGGCTGTTATTAGAAGAAAGTGGTAGTGGACATGAAGGATGGTGTATAGCGCGCATCTTTGAGGTTTTGTTTAATTCATTATACTACAGTGCAAAGCTGCCAAGGAATTTGCATCTTTTGGGGGAGTTATGTTTTCTTTTATTTCCAATGTTGAACGCTAGGTTTCATTTCTCTTTCCACCCTCATACTCTTTATTCCTCCTTCCCTTTCTTTTTTTTTCTCCAATATAGAGGTTGTACCACACGATGGCTGAGAACTCTTGCTTCTACCCCTTACCTTGTGACTTGGGCAGGTAAATTGATTATTCTATATCTCAGTTTCTTTACTTGTACAATGGGGGAAAATAATATTCAGCTCCTGGGTACAAGGATTAAATGAATCAATACAGAATACTTAGATTACTACTTGTGTTGACTGAATAGTCAACTAATGTTGTTGATTATAATGATTACATCATTGATTTTTTTTTTTTTTTGAGTTGGAGTCTTACTCTGTCGCCCAGACTGGAGTGTAGTGGCCCTCCTGGCCACCGCAGCCTCGACCTGCTGGGCTCCGGTGATCCTTCCGCCTCAGCCTTCCAAGTAGCTGGAACTACAGGTACGCGCTACCATGCCTGGCTAATTTTTTGATGTATTGTAGAGATGAGGTCTTGCCAAGTTGCCCAGGCGGGTCTCGAACCTGCGAGGTCAGGCAATCCACACACCTCAGCCTCCCAAAGCGCGGGATTACAGGCTGAGCCACTGAGCCCGGCTGTATGTTTCTTTTTAATTGCCCATTAAACTGGTATCTGAAGTGCTGGACTTAGCACCCATGTCTTAGTTTGGGGATTTTGAGGGATTAATGTAATCTACTTTTTATATTTTTGGAGTTGGGATCTTACTCCATTGCCCAGGCTGGAGTGCGGTGGCATGACCACAGCTCACCACAGCCTCAAACTCCTGGGCTCAAATGATCCTTTTGCCTCAGCCTCCCCAATTAGCTGAGACTACAGGCACGTGCCAGTACACCTGGCTCATTTTTTAATTGTCTGTAGAGATGAGGTCTCTCTATGTTGCCTAGGCTGGTCGCAAACCTCTTTTGTTTCTCAGAAACAATAGGAAAACACACACACACACACACACACACACACACACACACACACACAGCCATTGAGCATTCAAAAGACAGAATGATACAAGTGAATTACAGTTCAGGGACTAATTAGTTTCAATTGTTTGCCTGGGTTTCTTGTGTTAGTAGGTGGATTTGTGAGCTTTTTTTTTTCAGAAAGGGAGACTGTGAACAAGTGGGATGAAGGCACTGCTTTCTAGACCTGCAAAAGAGCCCAGGAAGGGGAGGATGAGGAGCAAACATGTACAATTTATCTTCATTTCCTCTGCCTTCTTACCTTACTAATCTTCGTATAAAGTCAGAATTATGTGAAGGTTGCATAAGAAGTCAGGAATGAATTCAGAATTGGACAGAGCCTTATGAAGGGAGGTTTGTGACATTAGGGAATTATCTATGAGGAGCAGAAGCTTGGAGACAAGGCATTTTCTATGGCCTCCTCTCTGAGATAGTTCTTTCAGAGAACCTTTTATATGTATGAAAGTCAGGTCCTACCAATATTCATCCTCCTTACATTTAACTGAGGCAGGGTAGCTAGCACAGGTTAGACATAAATAAATTTCCCGTAAGTAGGCTTTAGAAAACGTTCAGACACCATTTTAAGTCGTAAACTAAATGGAACTACATGCTAGTTCCAGCTACTTGGAAAGCTGAGGCGGAAGGATCACCTGAGCCCAGCAGGTCGAGGCTGAGGTGGCCGTTAGCGTGCCATTGCACTCCAACCTGGGCACAGAGTGAGACAATCAATCAATCAATCAATCAATGACGGGAATGGAGTCCCAGCGACTTGGGAGGCTGAGACGAATGGATCTCTTCAGCCCAGGAGGTAGAGGCTGCAGTGAGATATGAACTCATCACTGTCCTCCAACCTGGGCGACAGAGCGAGACCCTATCTTTAAAACAAAACAAAAACACCACCTAGTACTTGTCAAGTGTTTAAGCCTTTTAAAAACCGCCCTGTATAGCAAGTTGGAAACGCACGTAATACTAGAGAACCCTTCATGTTCCCAACAGATGCTTCACAGGTCACATTTACTAAGAGATAGTCTCGGGTAACAGGGTGAGGCGAGCAGTGCATTTTGGGATTTGTAGTCCTTTCAGGAGCGGTGCATTTTGAGACTTGTCCTACGGGGACCCAGAACACGACATCACCATTTAAAAGGACCCTCTCCCCCTTAAACTTTCTGACTCAACAGGTAGATTAACCTCTAACCTAAAGAATAACTTAATAAATATCACCTAATTCTAGGTTCCTCATGCTTCTGCTACGAGCATTACATTCAACGCACAAACGAAGCGTCTCCTTCACACGCCTCAAAGAGATTGGTTTGTCCTCAGCAGTGGGCGGAGCCCCAGGTGAACCGGAGTTCGGGATTGGCCACCTTCTGACTAAAGAGGCGTTTGTATGTTCCCTTGCTGATATGCCCACTGTGGTGAAAAAGCGAATCCTTTACCACAGTACTCATCTTCGCTGAGCGAAGTCTCGCGATATTTCGGTCGAAGGTACCCGGAGACGCGTAGCGCTCAGCGGAGGTCAGTGGGGGTGGCGGGCACCGGAGCCGGGAAGGGACGGCTCAGGGGAGGAGGGCGAGCGTGTGCTGCCCGCGCCACTCGGGCCCTGTCAGGACCAGCTGCCCGAGGTCCAGGGGCGGTGTGTGGACAGCACGGCCCTCCTGGCCCGCGCGTCGGCCCGGGTCGTGGCCGGTGAGTGGACCCCGAGTTTCACCTGGGCCCGCGCGGGCGGTGACAGGTGCGCGGAGGAGCGCG